TAGTGTGTGCATGTGTGGTATGTGTGTCTGTGTGTTTTTGTGTGTGTTTTTGTGTGTGTGTGTCTGTGTAGTGTGTGTGTGTGTGTGTGTCTGTCTGTCTGTCTGTCTCTGTGTGTGTGCATGCGTGTGTGTGTTGGCTTGGAGGAAGAGGTGCTAAAGTAAGCTGGGACGGCAGTTTGCCATGAGTTCTCAGTGAAGAAGCACCAAAGAGGAGCAGGAAGCCACAAGTTTGCCTGGTGTGTGAATGCAGAGGCCAGCCCACCCATGTCCAGCTACCACCTCTGTGACTATCCCTATGGGAAGGACATTTAGTCTCCTCTTGAGGTCCAGAAATTTTATGTCTCACACTCTTGGTTTGGGGAAGTTCTACCTTGCGTGTGACTTCTGCTCCCTGTCTACATAGGACGACTACGGCATCTCTCATTCACCATACCAGCTCAAGCCTGTGTCTTCCCAAGAGTCCTCAGCTCTAGGCCTCTGCAGGGCCGAAAGTCTCAGGTCTTGTGACCTGAGCAGAGGGAGTTAGTCTCAGCCATTCACCTTCATTCAGCATCACCTTCTCCCAGCCCAAGCTCCAGGAGAGACGACTTCTTCAAGGCCAGCTTTCTGCCCGAGCTTCCCTGCCTCCTCCACTCTTGACCAGAATGCAGTCATAGCCCACGGCTGGACCAGCGGACAGTGAGAGAAGCTGCCGTAGACCCACTGGCACATGGACTGTGGAACCGACATCTGTGAACACAATGAGTAGGCGCGATTCCAGCCCTGAGACGGAAGCTAGCACCACCCTCACTGGACCATGACTTCTTTTCCTTGAAGACTTTGAAGGTCTTGGGAGCCAGTCAAATCAACAGAAAAGGCCTCTGGGTTGCCATAGAAAATCCCCCAAATAGTTAAAAAATGGATAAGTCATGTGTGAGACTTCCCCGAGGCTGGATGGGGCAAGGGGTGTGGGTGTTAGGATGGTTTCCTCTTCACCCTCTTCCTCAGCACATAGGAGTGTTAGGACGAGGGGCCCACACTGGTTGAGGCAGGTTTTTAGAAGGTTAGTTGTGTTACCATACCCTCTGACACTACAAAGGCCAAGGTGGCCCCTTTGCACTCCAGACAAGCCAAACCCAACCCTAGGAGCTCCTTCACTCTGATCGAAGGAAACGGAGGGACTCTTGCAAATGAGTGATGGTGGTGGGGCCTTTGAACACCTTTCACTGTCCTAGGTAGACGGACACACCTGAGCACCTTCCCCAGCCTGACCAGGGGTACAGCGAGCAGTGGGAGCCGGTCCCATGGGTTCCAGGACCACGGAGACAGATGCTGAGCCCACCATAAATTAGGGGCTCAAAGGCAGTGCTGAGACAGCTTTCCATATTGCTAAAGTGGGAGTCAACATGCAATCATTTCTGAAAGGGGATGAGTGAGAGCTACTTCACTGTCTCACAAGCACAGAAAGGAATAAAGTGATCTGTGTGGCGCAGCACGGAAACTGATTTCCTCGTGTCCCAGACTCCTGTAAGCTGACCAAGTGTGTGCGCTGCCTTATCTTGTGCTGGGTCATACTTGCACCCCGGTGTCCGCTACACACTGGGGTTGGACAGCAGTGTCAGCTGTATAATGTCTGGAAAG